AATTTTAAAAGTGGTGAATAAGAGATTTAATAGTAGTGGCTAATGATTTCAGCGGTTAGATGAATGATGTAATTTGGCAGACCGTGATTTTAATAGTGAGCGGGTTTACGATTTTAATAGTAAGTGAATTAGTAATTGCGAGTGAACTAATGATTTCAACCATGGATGGGTTAGTGATTCAAAAAAAGGTTAATGATTTTAACATAAGAGTTCACAATTTCAACAAGAGATCGATTAATAATATTACCATTTGTGAGTTAGTGATTTTATTAGTAGACTATTCATAATTCTGGCAGTAGTTAATTTGAGATTTCAATAATAGCTGGGTTAGTGATTTTACATTGGGTGAGTTCACGATTTCAATAATGGGTGAATTTTAATAGTACGCAGGTTAACAATTTCAATTGTGAGTTTCAAGATTTAGCAGTTTAGGGTTCATACTTTCGACATTGGATGGATTTATAATTTCAACAGCAGGTAGATCCGTAATTTCAATAGGTGGGTTCGTGATTAGAGTTGTGAATTAATAATTTCAATAGTGAGTGGGTTTAGGATTTTAGTATTGTAGGTTCGTGATTTTAAACAGTGTAGATTCGTGACTTCAATAGTGGGTGTTTGTTCATTATTTTAGTAGTGTAGATTCGCGGCTTCATCGGTGGGTGGTTTGTAATTTTAACAATGGTGGTCAGTGATCAATAGTGAACGAGTTGTGATTTCAACGGTAAATTTGTTTGTTATTTTACCAGTATTCCTGATTTTAGTAATCAAAAGTAGTAATTTCAACTGTGGGTGCGTAGTTTCATGATTTTAACAGTGAGAGTTCGTGATATTAAGAGTAAGTGTGGCTTCAACGGTGGGTGGTTTGTAATTTTAACAATGGTGGCCGGTGATTAATATGAAGGGTTGTGATTTCAACAGTAAATTTGTTATTTTAACAGTATTCATGATTTAGTAATCAAGTAGTAATTTCAACTGTGGGTGCGTGGGTTTATGATTTTAACAGTGAGAGTTCGTGATATTAAGAGTGAGTAGGTTCATAATTTAGTGGTACGTTCGTGATTTAAATAATGGTTGATTTATGGCTTCAACGGTAATGCATTTGTGATTTATTTAATAGTGGATGTTCGTGACTTTAGTATGGTTGACTTACGACTTCAATAATGGGTGGTCCATGATTTTAACAGCGGATAAGTTCACGATTTCAACGGTGAGCGGGTTCAACATTTCAACTTAGGTAATTTTATTATTTTAGCACAGGATAGATCGTGATATATGTGGCTCTTGACTTTAGTGATGATGGGTTCATGCTTTAATAATAGGCGGGCCAAAATTTAGCAATTCACAATTTCAGTCTAATTCAATAATGAAATGAGTGAATTCACTGTTCCAGTAGGAATGGGAGAATTTAATAATGGGTTGTGATTTTAATGATGGGCGTTAGTTTTTGTAATGTTTTAATATACATTATTATTTAACATATAGATATTGTGCCTCAGATTAACACTTGAGTCGCATTTAACAGATCAGCCTAATCCTAACCCTAACCCAGGCCAAAGCGACATCTGGCGCAATCTGAGGCACAACATATACGTACAAATATTTTAATATCTATCTGCCTGCTTTGTCAAATTTGATTGTTTAAATTTAATGTCACCATATATCTGTCGTGAAGTTACACCTGCCTAAAATTGCTAACTAATGTGTGCAAGATGATCTGATTTCAGGGGCTAATTTCAGTCAAGCTGCAATTTCAATCGGCTGTCAACATATACAATACAACGTCAAGTTAGAGTTTAACCAACCCTGAAGCTTTGTTTGACCTCTTCTCCGTAGGTGACAAACATACTTTCTGATACTTTTTATTAAAAGCTAATAGAATTTGATTGTAAACTTATTATAATTTACAATAATAATTTTTACTCGATACAAAATAAACTTGGCCGTTAACGTTGTGTCCATTAACGTCAATAATGTATAAACTACCAGATCAATGGCTAATCAAGTTGTAAAATTTTATGTATCATATGAAACTCATCCCATAAGGAGTTGGTATGCTGCATTACGATAGAATGTATATGTCATTCCTTGATTCCATTTTATCATGTTTTAATAGCGATAGTCTATTGCCAACCTGCTGGTTCAGTAACTTACTGTACGATGCTGCACAAGCTCCGATAAACACCGTAAAGAACCTCCATAGTTACCCATACCGTTTCTACTGTCAAATACAACGTAAGTACGTACGTACTGTACGAATTTAACAACCTGGTATCTGGTCGGAAATTACAGAATTTCATCACTAGCACTAGTTCCATCTCTACGTAACGAATTACGTAATTACGTGATTTTCCGAGCGTAATACGTAGTGCCATTTATAATTAGTTGTTTGTGTACGATTGTTTTCCGGAATTTCTATATAACACTCCGGATTTAAATACGTATTTTGTCACAAAAAATTTCCCAATTAACAAATTTCAAACTTGATTCTTATTTTTTTTTTTCCTTGAATAAATGGCTTCTAATACAAGCGATATCCAAATTGATGTTGACGAATCTCAACAAGAGATGAATGTCACTACAAATCCAAATATTTTACCCACCAGTACTACTGTTTCAAGTGAATCTAGTAAACATAGTCGCAGTGGGAGCGGAACGAATAAAAAACCACCTCCAATTCCTCGAAAGTCGGAAAAAGTTCTTAAATGGCAACCTCCACCAGTAAAAGATCCAGAAACAAGAAAGCCATTATTAAAGAATTCAGGTCCTACTAAAGAGGAAGTAAAGGATGGTGCATTACAAGAATCGAATGGTGCAGAAGCCAAAAAAAAATTACAAGAATCAAGCCATACTGAGGAGGAAGTAAAGGATAGAGTATTACAAGAATTAGATGGTCCAGAGACCAAAAAATCATTATTAAAAGATTCAAGTCATATTGAAGAAGTAAAGGATAATGCGTTACAAGAATTAGATGGTTCAGATACCAAAAAAGCAATATTACAAGACTCAAGCAGTATTAAGGAGGAAGCAAAGGATAGTTTATCGCAAGAATCAGATGATCCAGGAACCCAAACAACAATATTACAAGGTTCAAGCCCTATTAAAGAGGATAATGTATTACACGAACCAGGTGGTTCAGAGACCAAAAAAACATTACAAGATTCAAACCCCAATACGGAGGAAGTAATTGATAATGTATTGCAAGAATCGGATGATCCAGATACCAAAACAACATTATTACAAGATTCAAGCTCTATTAAGGATAATGTATTACAAGAATCTGATGGTCCAGAGACCAAAAATACATTACAAGATTCAAACCAGAATGCAGAAGCATCCGAAGGAAATTTAATCTCAAATCAATCGGAAATAAAAGGTAAAGGTGTTTTCGATGTATTATAAAAATTAATTCAATAATTAATTTATCATAAAATTCTAGATGCATATTCAAGTTATACTGAATTAGCGAATAACCCGGAGATTGATTCACAAAGGCGAAAACAGGAAGATTCTTATCAAATTAATAATGAAAAGGCCATTAGTTTTGAAGAAATTAATAAACAATTGGCAAAGGCTGGCATTCTCGATAACGATACAGGTAATGAGACTCAACAGCCAGCGACCAATGAAACCGTTAGTTATAACGAGACTCAACAGCCGGCAGCTAATGAAACCGTTAGTTATAATGAGACTCAACAACCAGGGCCTAATGAAGTCTTTTGTCTTTATGAAGTTCAAAAACATTTAAAAGAGAAAGGTATAGTTGATGATTCACAAAGCACGTCTGCCCCTTCATCTGGCATGCATGCCAAGCATATCATTGAAGCAGGAAATAATATACCGCACCCGATTAATAATCCTGCGACAATGCCGGCCGGAGTAGACACATATACTTATCAATCTATTGAGACAAATAAAAATATTTCACCTTACGCGAGTAATCCTATAGCAGTATCACCTATAATGAGCATGCCTCAACCTAACATTGGGGCAAATAAT